TGTAGGCAGCTTTAAACTCCATATTTTAAAATTAGTTACAATCTTACAGGGTGTTCCATAAGATGGTGGCATACCAAACTTATAATTTTTTTAAATGGAACACCCTGTATTTTATTTTAAATTTAAAATCGGCTTCACTTCCACATCACAACAATGTAAAGTTTTATTATGTTATACCGGGTGTCTAAAAAGTTATAACCAATATTACCTGAAAATCGTATCAAGTTTAACTCCCTGTGCAATTAAAAAGGAGTATAGGAACATTGATCTATTGCAAACCATAGTTTTTAAATAATTGTTAAAAATTATAAAACATATTCGTTTCCATAATATTCGTTAAATCAAATACAGGGTGAGTCAAAATGCAAATACATTATTTTCTTGGTAATTTTAAATAGAACACCCTGTATTTTATATCACTATCAAAAAGTAATAATATCGTACTTCAAATTTTATAAAGTACTCCCTATACCTAAAGTTATCAGTTTTCTAGATATTATTGTTTTTTTCATCAAAGTATTAATTTGGTAGATATTTTTAACGTTTACCAACTCACAATATAATTATTGTGAGTTGGTTATGATTGATTTGTCAAAAAACTGACAGTTTGACATTATTGTTTAATAATTTAGTAACGAAATAACGACACAGAAAAGAAAACAATTTATTTAAAATAAAATTTATAAAAAATAACCGACGGAAAATAAAAAAAATATATATATAACAACACATAGAAAAATTAAAAACAACAGTAAGTTTAACTTATCTTACTTAAGTAAGGTGTTCAAAATGACCTCCCAAAACATCTATGCATGCTTGAAAACGGTCATTGAAAGAGTTGGTTACATTACTAAGCATTTGTAAAGAAATATTTTGAAATGCAATTCGGATTCTATTTTTCATATCATCCCTTGTTGTTGGGGGTATTTTATATACTTCGTTCTTAACGTAACCCCAAAAAAATGAGTCCATTTTATTGAATTCTGGTGACCTTGGGGGACACCTTACCGGTCCATCCCTTCCGATCCATCTTTCCCCAAACTGATTATTAAGTTCACCACGTACTAATTCGTAGGAGCATTGTGGTGCGCAGGAGCACCGTCATGTAGAAACCACATTGTTTCACGTATATTAAGTGGTACCTCTTCTAATAATATCGGTAACTGATTTACGATAAAATCTAAATAAATCTCACCATTTAAATTATCTTCAAAAAAATATGGTCCTACTACATGGTTACCGACGATACCTCCCCACACATTTAGAGACCATCTTGTTTGACTATGTGTTACTATGTGGTATGGATTACTTGTTGAGTAGTAGTGAAAGTTATGCCTATTAAAAGAACCGTTTCGATGGAATGTAGCTTCATCACCAAATAGGACATAATCAAAAAAATCTCTCTGCTCATTAATTTTTTCTAAGGCCCATTCACAAAATACTATTCGTTTCTGAAAATCATCATTAATTAATTCTTGGTGCTTTTGAATATGATAAGGGTACATCTTGTTTTTAGATAGAATGTTTTGAACAGAGTAGTAACTAAGTTCTTGTTAATTGGAAATAGTCCTTATGCTTGTGTGTGGGTTTTCTGTAACCGCCATCAACACACTCATTTCGTTTTCCTCTGTATCTTGTCTAGGTTGTCGCCTACCTGGAAACCGTTTTTGATAAATTCTAGCTGCTAGTAATGCATTTTTATTGCATTCCCCCAATATCCAGATCATATCTACCATTTCATCAGTAGTAAAATTCATTATTGCTAATTTAAATTGAATAAATTGCTGAATTACTAAATAATAATTGTTGCTAATTTACGGTGTACCCCAATACTGAATTAATAAATATTAATGTCAAACTGTCAGTTTCTGACAAATCAATCATGGCCAACTCACAATAATTATTGGTAAACGTTAAAATATCTACCAAATTAATACTTTGATGGAAAAATAAAAATATCTTTAAAAACTAATAACTTTAGGTATAGGGAGTACTTTATAAAATATGAAGTACATACGATATTAGTTCTTTTCGATAGTGATATAAAATACAGGGTCTTCTATTTAAAATTATTAAGAAAATAATGTACTTGCATTTTGACTTACCCTGTATTTGATTTAACGAATATTATGAAAATGAATATGTTTTATAGTTTTTAACAATTATTAAAAAACTATGGTTGCAATAGATCAATGTTCCTACAATCCTTTTTAATTATACAGGGAGTTAAACTTGATACGATTTTCAGGTAATATTGGTTATAACTTTTTAAATACCCGGTATACCATAATAAAACTTTACATTTTTGTAATGTGGAAGTGAAGCAAATTTCAAATTTAAAATAAAATACAGGGTGTTTCATTTAAAAAAACATAACTTTGGTCTGCCACCATCTTATGGAACACCCTGTAGGATTGTAACCAATTTTAAAATATGGAGTTTAAAGCTGCCTACAATTTTTGTTAATAATTTTTTTTGTAATTTTTACTATAACAGATCTACTGAGCTTCCTCACACTAATCAATCACCCTGTATAGATATATATTTTTATAGATATATTTATAAAATATGTGGTATAAAACAACTAGTGTGGATGGTCACGTGAAGCGAATGAATGAAGATAGATGGCCAAAGAAAGCTTTAAATTACATACCACAACAAAGAAGAAGGTCTTCTTCAAAGGAAGAAGGGGAAGGCCTTCAGTTGCCTGGGAAAAAAATGTACGACACATAATGAGCGATAGAGCTATCAAAGAAGACGAATAGATGGACAGAAAACGATGGCGCTCGAAATGTGAGACGCGGCAGAGGCTGTAGGAATCTCGCTTATATTATATATATATATATATATATATATATATATATATATATATATATATATATATATATATATATCATCATCATCATCATCATTATCAGCGTATTCTACCAATTATGTTGCAGCCTCCCTTACATAGTCGTTCTTCATGTCTGCCCACGACTGTCTAATATTCGCTTTTCTGTGCCATGTTGTACCGGCTTGTTTCCTTATGTCATAGTCCCATCTTAAATTTGGACGGCTTCTTGGTCTCTTGACGCCTCTTGGATACCACAGAGTAATTCTAGTGGACCATCTATTGTCAGTTCTTCTTGCTAAATGTCCCGCCCACTGCCATTTTAAAGATTTTATTCGGTGGATTACATCAGTGACCTTCGTTTTCTGTCTGATCCATTCTATTCTTTTTCGATCTCTCTTGGTTATACCTAACATGCATCGCTCCATTGACCTTTGAGTGACTTTGAGTTTAGCTATTATATCTTTCTTTAGTGTCCAAGTTTCGCAGCCGTATGTCATGACTGGTAGTATACATTGATCGAATGCCTTTTTCTTCAGGTGGAGTGGCATCCTAGATTTGAATATAACTGAATTTTTACCAAGAGCTGCCCAAGCCAGTTTCATTCTTCTGTTGATTTCTGGGAGTAATGAGCCAGATTTATGTATTAATTGTCCCAGGTATATATACTCGTCTACTGTCTCCAGTGCAGTATTATTTATTATTACATCTTGGACATCCACTAGCTCATGAATACATTAATGAGCTAGTCCACTACATTAATGTAGTGAAAAGAAATTAGGCTACTTGATCTTTTCACTACATTAATGTCATATTAGGTGTACTATTTGAACCTTTTTCCATTTTTCATAAAATAATTTATATACATAAAATAGAAATAAAATAAATAAATATCTCAATAAAATAACTTAATATTCTTTACTTAATTTTACTATTACATATGCAACTTACATTGCATTTCCATACACTAATTACTTTAATTAGTGCTACCAATTTTATACTAAAATAATACAAATATTGTAATTGATTCATAGAATCCTTTGCAAATCACAGTTCCAAGTATATTGAACCTTGGGCTGTTTGGAAATTAACGAATCGTTAACCACCTGTGGCTGTTTAACTAGCCATAATGATTAACGTTATTACATACTTATGAGGTTGAATGAAAATCTCCTGTTTGTAAATTTGGACTGATTAGTGAGGGGAGTTGCTATTACACTACCAACTTTTTTCACTGTTTTGTCTTTTGCAACCGGGTAGTCATCCAAACTCATTTAAACTTAAATTAACCGCCCAAAATTTGGGTTGGTACCTACACCTTGTTGATCTGTCGAAAGTATTTTTGACCTCAAGGTTGGCTGTCTTTTCGCGGTTTAGTTCGTTCCTGTTTCATTAAACGCCATTTTCCCGGCGACATTCATAGGGCTTTGATCGATAACTTCATTTATACTACTTTTTAAAAATTTTATTAATATCACTTATAATGCTACCTAAAGTTAAAATCAAAGCTTAATATCCATTAAATAGTTGGAAGTTATCTATGATTTTCTTGGTTCTTACTCACTAATTAACATTAAATAACATTAAATTTACTTTAGACCACATGGTCATTTGCTGTGCTAATTTTTTATAAAGTCATATATGTTGTTAGTTACTTAACTGTTTATACAAAATCAGCGTATTATGTCCATTTACTTAGTTTCATTCACATTATTGTTAATAACCTTGACTGCTACATATCTTTTTAAGGTAACAATTAACATCGTTTCCATGATTGTGTGGTTCTCATATTGTAAAATTTTTTAGATGAACTGATGATGCTTTCAAAACTCGAAAGCGAAACGTCTTCAAAATAGATAAAGTAGCCTATCAACTTTGTCTTTTATTTCTCCACCTAGAGACCGATATAAGAACCCACCACTCGTCTGAGTGATCCTTATATATATATATATATATAAATTTATGTTATCAAATGCAGAGGTTACATCTATAAACTTTTAACTTCCTATTAATAGTAACGACAAAAGTTTAAACACAAAAGTAAATATGTTTATAGAACCTTTAAGTCTTACAATTGAATCAAGAATCACTCACAAAAATATTTGAGATTTTTTTGGAAACAATCTAGCATGTAAGCAACCGTAAACTAAATTTAGTAAATACATACCTGGAACAAGGTTTACTTTCGTCCATTTGTACTCGTGTGCAATTATTCAAATCGATTTTCTTCGTTAAAATATTTCGAGTCGTCCCAAATTTTTTATTCGAAAATGGAAGCGCTTCCGAACCATCTTCCTCTACAATTCTTACTTTGTTAGATGCCTGCTCTAAGCTTCGGTCTGTTATTGCTTTACTACCTCTTTTTCTGCTGTAAGTATTTTTAACGCCAGTAATTTTTCGGTAATTCTCTAGCATAATCGTTTTAGAAATGCTTTGTAAATCCTTATGAGGAGATTCTAATGTTAAAATACCTGGCCAATTGAATAACGATAAAAATCTACTAAAAAATAGTTTTCTATCCATTTCTATCGTTTCTTTAAACAACATGTTGCTTTCCAAAAGATCATTATTTATTTCAGATTTGAATTTCTTTAATACGATTGCAGGTGTACCAAAATTATTATTAAAAATCTTTTCAACTGGAGCAGATCGGAATTTAAAATTTTTTATCAGTAAACTTCTCATAGCGTTTGCCGTGTAAAAATTTGGTGGAATGCAATCTTTAATGGGATTCGAAGAGAAGACAACAGGATGACTGCCTTTTCTCCTTCTTATTTCTAACAATATTTTCTTATCGAGATTATCTAACTGTGGACACCGCGCTAAATTTTTAGGAATGTCCAAGTCTACTTTAAGAAAATTCAATAAATATTCCACATCATTTACAATCCGTTTGATTGCACATGAATCTGGTAAAGTTTCGAGAGATTCTTCGGAGTTATACAAAAAAAAATCGGTTAATAAATCATCAATGTTGTCATCGCTGATATTTTGACGACACAGAGGTTCGTTTGAATAATTATTTAATACTTCTTCTATTTCTTCTAATGTAGGTATCACAGATTGTGCAGCAAAAATATCCACCACCTGCCTAAAACAAATTATAATATTAACACCTCGAGGAGTGTGGAATTTCTTGATAAGTGTTTTATAATGTACAGTATGCCCAAAATAGCAATACATGTGAGCTGCATGTAAATCAGAAGAGGGTTGCAGAAGAGAAACTGATTTCTTTGTATGTACAGAAAGGTTGTTTACATGAATAATTGTTTTGCAAAATAATTATTGTATAATGAGTTGCATTTAATTATTTACAATTTTTAAATTTGAAGTGGTTATTTAATAATGTTCCGTTTTCTGGTTTCTATTTGGACCAATCTTTAATTTTCGTATACTTTGAATAATCTTAAGTCAATATAAATTCTTTATACTATAGAAATAATCAACAACGACATAAAAATTATTATTGGTGATTTTAACGCTAAAGTCGGCCAAGAGACTATTTACCGACCCACGATCGGCGAGCATAGTCTTCATGCTGTCAGCAACCAAAATGGTCTACGTCTGATTGAACTAGCAGCAACATTGGGAATGGTGGTAGTAAGTACATGTTTTCCTCACAAAAATGTCCATAAAGCCACATGGCAATCACCAGACGGTCAAACAAAAAACCAAATTGACCATGTACTAATTGATAGTCGACATTTCTCGGACGTACTAGATGTAAGAGCATGTCGAGATGCTAATATAGACTCTGGCCACTACCTTGTAAGAACAAAACTCGGGGCTCGTATATCAAACGCTAAAGGTGAAGTCTCTCTTATGCGATTGTCGCAATCGTTCGACGCAAGCAGCAGTCGCAAGCGATTAACGCACTGGTTGGGGTGGTCTCCCTTAAGCATTTAGTCGCATGCGATAGATCAGCTGATATTGAACTAAACGACGGGAATTTTTATAATAATGGAGCATCTACAGAGACAAGTTTATCTTCATATATTAAAAGAGCAAGAATTGGAGGAGAACATTGTAAAAATGATGCTAAATAACTCAAAAAAGAGTTAAACTCATGAAATGTATGTGAGGAGGGTTGAAGAAGGATACCAATCCAATTTTATAAGTAAATATCTGGTTGATGATGATGATTTTGTATTATGTGCTATTAAGGAAGATATATCAAACTCTCCTTCAAAAATCTAATGAAGCCCTACAATAAAGTACAGGCCAAGGCCAACCTGGAAAACTATGACAATCTTAGACGAGAAGAAAAAAAAGGAAGTTTAGAAAGAAAAAGAAAGAGTCATACGAAAACGCTCTAAACGAAATTGTTATCCACCATAACACAAACGACTCGCGAAAATTCTACCAGAAGATAAATAGCTGCAGAAAAGAATTCAATCCCAGAATAACAGCATGTAAAGATGGTTCCATAATTAGTGACAAAGAACAGATACTAAACAGGTGGGTGAATCATTTTGAAGAACTGCTTAGCGACAGTCGTGAAGAAGACCAAATAGAAATTACTTTGCCTGAAATTGATGAAAACACTCAAGAGCCACCGAAGAAGAAATTAGAGAAGTCATTTCAAAACTGAAAAATAACAAAGCCCCTGGTTTGGACAATCTTCCTGCCGAACTCTTTAAAAATGGTGGTAACACCCTTCTTAAACACATGCATAAATTAGTAACCGAAATCTGGCTACGAAAGGAAAGGCCCGCAGACTGGAAATTAGGTGTAATGCACCCTCTTCACAAAAAAGGAGATATGATGGTGTGTGATAATTATAGAGCCATCACCCTACTTAACGTGGCATATAAAGTATTGTCCAACGTATTATACAGAAGATTGTACCCCTATGCTGAACAAATAGTTGGGAACTACCAGTGCGGTTTCCGACCCAATAAGTTAACAACGGACCAAATCTTCACAGTCCGGTAGATTCTTGAGAAAACGCTTGAGTTCGGAGTAGACACCCACCACATATTCGTGGATTTCAAAGCCGCATACGACTCAGTCAACAGACATAAACTTCTGCAGGCTATGGTGGAATTTCCACTAACGGAACTCACAGGCGTAGAGAGTGTAGTCAGAATCCAAAACGACTTTTCAAGACCCTTCCACTGTAAAAATGGCACGAGACAGGGAGATTGACTGCCGTGTCTCTTATTTAACCTTGCACTAGAAAAAGTAATTCGAGAGTGCCATATTAATACGAATGGCACCATCTTTAATAAATCTGTACAAGTGGTCGGATATGTAGATGACATAGACATTATTGCTAGGTCGACAGAATCTCTGATCGAAGCATTTCGATCATTAAGGGCGTCTGCACTGAGAATGGGATTAAAAATAAACGGACAGAAAACCAAATGTATTGTACTAAATCAGGCAACCAGATACTTAGACTAGTAATTGACGATCTGGAACTGGAAGGTGTGACACTTTCGTCTACCTGGGCTCGCTATTGACCAAAGACAACAATGTCAGCGAAGAAATTAAAAGAAGAATAGTGCTTGCCAATAAGTGCTATTATGGCTTAAGGAAACAGATGGCCCCAAAACTACCCAGAAAAATTAAAATTACCATATACAAAACACTAATAAGGCCAGTGTTAACATACGGGTCAGAAACGTGGTCACTTACACAGAACGACCAAGAACTGCTTAAACGTTTCGAGAGAAAAATTCCGAGGAAAATATATGGAGGTGTCCAAGAACAGGGTTTGTGGCGCAGGCGCTACAACTTTGAGTTATACAGAAGTTTTGGGGACCTGACGTTGTAAAATGTATTAAATTAGCACGCCTTCGATGGATAAGACATGTAATTAGGCGAGATGAAGATGCAACGATCAGTTAAATTTTCGACCGAAGAGGATTAGTGGGAAGAGGATCCAGAGGAAGACCAAAACTTAGGTATCAAGATAACATAGAGAATGATCTAAAATCCATCGGAGTTAAAGCATGGAGAAGAGTTGCCAGAGACAGGGGCGAATGGAAGATTGTTCTGAAGAAAGCTTTGGCTCATGAGGAGCTGTAATGAAACTGATGATGATGATAGAAATAATCTAAATAAGCTGTTTTGACCAGTCTTTAATTTCCGTAAACTTTCAATACTTTACTAGAGTTTTCGATTTTACTTTGTCTATTAATAAAATAGTGACCAAGATTTGAGTCGCTTAGCGATATTCTCACGACTTAGACTCTAGTCAACTTTTATAATTCAGCCAAAATATATTGAATTTTTACCGTCGAACTGATACAAATTTTATTGAACATTGATTTTGCGCACGTAACTGACATTCAAAATTGACGGTCGCTTCAAGCGTTGTTTCTAGGAGAACGGTTCATTCTACACAAAAAGTGTTTATAAACAGTTTTGTTTAAAATTATCTCAGCTACATTATTTTTCTATGGCATACTGATTCTTGGTAAATCGATTTTCTGAGTTTTACTTCCCAATGAGGGAAGTTTTATGGGGAAACCCTGGGGTAAAATTGGTAATTTTTTTTGCATCTTTTTTGAGGTCACAAAATTAATATGCTCTGCAAACTTCATCTTGTTCGTATGATTTTTAGGGGTTCAGTGGCATTTTCGTCTCTGGAGTAGACTGGAGTATTTACTCAATATATTTGAATTGTTTCTTTTATTTTCGTTTTACTATTGTTGCATATTTTAACACTATTACGAGGTAATGGTATTTCAGAGCCCACAGAAAACCTGCGATAACATTTAAATGAGTGAAGTAAAATTTAGCGACAGTAATTAAAAATTTTAAGATATATATTGGAATAGAATACTAATTGAATCAATTAATATTTTGTTTTTTATAAATTTATTAAACTTAACTTGCCACTCAATAAACAACTAAAATAAAAAATTAAAAATTAATAAATAATCATACCTATTACCTTAAATCAGAAAATGTTTCAGAAGTTAGGCGATAAACTAATAAATAATATTAACCATAAATTTCAGATCCCTGGCTCAATTTCCTCCTCTGTCCTCCTGCTTCTTTTTCTTCATCACCCAGAAATCAGACAGTGTACTTCTCTCCATTCTTTCTCTCCTCTCAACATTATGTTTCTTTCATCCAGCCCGAAACCCATTCGCCTCTCGAAATCTCCCATCTCATTTGCCAATCTCTGTTAGTTAAAAATGTGGGCGGGAGCATCTGGTACTTCACAAACAGTACAGTCTGCCGAGGCAAATTTGCCTATTCTATTTGCGAAGGTGCTAAAACTACCATGTCCGGTCAGAAACTGCGTCAGGAAGTAGTCTAATTTCCTGAACTTACTTTCACACCACGGTCTCAGTTCAGGGATAAGCTCCTTCGTCCACCTTGCCTTTCCACTATCATTCGCCCATTCTCTCTGCTACTTTACTATCGTTCTTTCTCTGTCATTCTCATCTATATTTACATCCATCCTCCTCACATACATCTTCGCTCGCTCTTTACACAAAAAAACGATCGGTATTACCGCTTCAATAACATATAGAGCCTCATTTGAAACTGTCCTATATGCGCTAGATACCCTGAGGACCATTCGCCTTTGCGAGGTCTCCATCAGCTTGGCGTATTTCGCAGTGTTTAGTACATTACACCACACAGGGACAGCGTAGGTTACCACCGACTGGAAAACTCCATTTAGCACCTTTCTTTTGGTGCTTCTTGGGCCTCCAATGTTTGGCATCAGCCGTACGAACGACTCCGATTTCGGTTCCCCTTCTCTACTGTGTTTTGGATGTGTACTCCGAACCTTAGACCTTCCGACAACCAGACCCCACATACTTAATTGATTTTACCGGTGCAACCTCCACACCACAATTTTTCCCGGGTCCCTTTAAGAACTAACACCTTAGTTTTCTGATGCGCTAGCTGTAGATAGTTCTCCCTGATCCACCTACTAATGCGACGCAGGGCTGTGTTAGCCGCATTAGCCATGTCCGTTTTCTGACTCACCGTCGCAACCAGTGCGAGGTCATCGGCATAAGTTACAAGAGTGCATCCCCTTGGCATTTGTAGCCTCAACAACCCGTCGTACAGGACATTCCACAGGATGGGACCTAGTGCTGAATCCTGCGGAATACCCTGCGACAAACTGATGCTGGTATCTTTTTCTCTTAAGGACCTGTCAGTAAAGTATCTGTCAAATACGTTGACCAGGTACTCACTAACGCCCAAATCTCTGAGCCGGGAAATGATTTTTTCCCATGATGCCGTATTAAAGGCATCAATTTAAGCAAAAATAATAATCTTCAATAATTCGCATTTTTTAATTCTTCAATATCTGTAAATTTTTGGTCAGAATAGATTTTTGATTTTAGATGCCCCCAGATAAAATAATCTTATCGAAAGCTTTAGTATGATTAGTGCTGAGATGGGAATTACTATAAACGCTAAAAAAAACGAAGTAAGTACATGCTAATTACAAGACCACAAAATATACACCACCTATTGATAATCAATGGTAACGTGATATAAAAAGTAGAAAAATATCAGTACTTGGGAACTTTGATCAATGAAACCAATGATCATACTGTAGAAATAAACAGGCGAATAGAGATTGCCAGATCAGCAATTATACGAATGAAGCCACTCCTAACGTGTAAAAATCTAAATTTGGAAAACAGACTATGTAACATTCGCTATTATAAATTTGAATATTATTATATGGAGCTGAGACTTGGACAATAAAAAAATGCAATTTAAAAAGAATCGAGGCTTTAGAACTCTGGTTATACCGCAGAGTATTAAAAATATCATGGACTGATAGAATTACAAATAAAGAAGTACTGGAGAGGGTTGGTAAAGAAACAGAACTAATCACCACTATACAAACCAGAAAACTGGAATACCTAGGCCACGTGATTAGTGGTCAAAAATATGATATTTTGAGACTCATAATACAGGGAAAGATTCAAAGAAGAAGATCTGTTGGCCGAAGGCAAAACTCATGATTAAAGAATCTACCTGATTGGTATCAATGCAGATCGATTGATTTGTTTAGAGCAGCAAGTTCTAAAATAAAAATAGCTATTATGATTGCCAACCTCCGTAGGGACACGGCACTCTAAGAATAAGAAAATAAATTAATCGTTTGGAGCTAGATCTCTCGATCTCGGAGGCCACTTACAGTCAGGTCACAGAATAATAAACAATCAGAATGCCCACTCTCAGATGCAGCCTTTGAAGTTTTTCAGCACGCGCGCCATGTTTTAGAAGGACAGACATATCGTCGGTGTCAACACGTAAAGGCGTATCTCAAAATTTGACGAAATTGAGTTAGGACCGTATTTGATATCATAACTATAGGTCCCATGATGTGAAGAAGTGGCGTAACTAAATCTTATACCGTTCACATTAAAACCTAATGCTTTTACTGAGGCGTATCTTAAAAAGTTAAAAAAAAATTTAAACGTATGGGAGCATCTTAAGATACGCCTTAAAACTATAATTTTTTAACCGATTTTGGGGCGTATATTAACATACGCCCTATCGTATTTACTTCATGAAAAGGTAAATATGTTTATACAGGCGGATCTTTGCAGGTCTATGCTTGTATAATTTTGCTATTGGCCGTTTAAAACCGAAAGAAAAGAACAGTTCACCGTATGTACTTATCCAGAGCGGTTGTTCGTGTAACTTAATACGTTTGTTTTGTGTTCCAAAAAAATCTAAGTAAACATTGGTAAGTACGTGGTTCTTTTATTTAATAAATGACTTTCGTATATTAGGTATTATGAATGAATATTATAACGAGTATTTTTACTTGTTGTTTAGCTGAATAATTGTAGTCCTAGTATTTTAAGTTGATTTGTGACTATTAGAAAGAGAAGGTTTGTTAAAAATAAAAACATCTTACACATTGTAAGTTGCTAAAAATAAAGAATACTAAAAACTAGATAAAATCTAAATAACTACATTTAAAACTATCGTATTCAAAACAAAATTGATTGATTAATAGACGTATTTTAATTACAGGTACACTATGATGGAAGTTTTGGTGCAATGGAGGGATCGCTCAATATGTTTGGTATGTACAAATAAACTAGAGGTGGTAAACAAGGACGATACGTTTAAAAACGGTACACGTGTTAAAATGCTACATAATGAAAGGTGGTATTTTGGAATCATCCTTGATATGAAAGGATATTGTGGTGGCAGTTCGAGTGAAGAAAATGAACCTTTGACAAACACCGAGATTGGATCGGAATCAGATAATACAGATAATAGTGAAAAAAATAATAAAAAATCAAGTGACCATTTAAACAACGGCGATCCCTACTCGGATATAGACTTAAGCGATACAAACGATCCCACTTATACTCAGTGCTGTGAAGTACCAAAATGCAAAGGAGAAGTGTTCAGTTCCTGTTTCCGTTGTCAAATCCTTCTCTGCTGGAATCATTTCATGGAGGATTTGCCTACTTGTGATAAGCATCGCAACCAAGATTCCAGTGATGATTCGTTTGTGTCAAAAAGGAGATATCGCAAAAAAAAGAAGATCGATAATCGAAAGCCCGAAGATTACAACGTAGAAGGTGCATCAAAGGAATATGAAAGGGAAGTCTTGACGAGAACAAATAAAAAGAGAGTTGCTCAAGTTTTACGACGAAGTGGTGCTCAATATGTTTCAGTAGACACCAAAAAGACTGTTAGCGGACGTAAACTAGGTTCATCCTGTAACAGTGAGTGGTGTAAAAAGGGCGGTAGGAATTGCAGTAAGTTTAGTAAAGAAGTTAGGCAATCAATATTTGATAACTTCTATAAATTGGCTAATGTACAACTCCAACGCGAATATATTGCGCGGCACGTTAAACAAGTTAAAAAAAAATTTGCACAACTTCAAATCTCAAATCTAGGCGTGAGAACACTAACTTATTTTTTCTTCCTTTGGATGGAAACACTGTCCAGGTGTGTCGTTCATTTTTTATGAATACGTTAAATGTAAGTGAAAAAGCCATTCGTACTGTACTAACTAAAATGGATAGTACTGGCTTTATAGAAAAAGACAATCGTGGTGGTAGATGTGCTAACGTCGTTCTAAAGGACGAAGCTAAAAGAAAACTAATCGAAAATCATATTAATCGTTTTCCGCGAGTAGAGTCGCATTATTGTCGCAAAGATAGCACTCGGGAATATCTTCATAGTGACTTAACTTTAAAAAGGATGTATGCAATGTTTATTAATGAATCGGGTTTCGATGAAGACAAACCGTCTTTTACGACATATCGCGCAGTTTTTAAGGCTAAGAATCTATCTTTCCATAGGCCCAAAAAAGATTTATGTAGTTTATGCAAAACGTATCACGAAAGTTCTAAAGAAAAAAAAGTAGAAATGCAAACGACTTACGATGAACATACAAAGTCGAAAAATGCTATACGAGAGTATAAAAGCCTTTGTAAAATTTCAGCTGAAAGTGATCCTGAAAAAACGGTGTGCTTATGTTTTGACCTACAACAAGTAATACACTTACCTATATCGAACGAAAATGCGATTTTTTACAAAAGAAGACTTGCTTGTTATAATTTAACATTTTATAACTTGGCCTCTCGCGACTGTCATTGCTTTACGTGGAACGAATGCGATAGTGGACGAGGGAGCTGTGAAATATCTACAGCCTTATTTAAAATCCTTTTAAAATATGACGAAAAAAAAGTTAAGATAGTTAATTTATTTGCAGATGGCTGTGGAGGACAAAACCGCAATACCATCGTAGTAGCGGCTCTTTTGTTTATCGTTTCTAAGTCAAATCACATTGGCGAAATTAGCCTGTGCTTTTTTACTGCAAACCACGGCCAAAATGAAGGAGACTCTGCTCATAGTGCCATTTCGTATGCCATTAAAAAAGCGGGCGAATTGTTTATTCCGTCCCAGTTAACACCTGTTATTCGTCTTGCAAGACTTGCTAAGCCCTATGAGGTACATACCTTTAGTTTTGGGGACTTTTGGGATTTTAAAACTTTAGGCGAAAATCTTCGAATAAGGTCATTGCGAATAGATGATCAAGGTAATGGCTTTAAATGGACAGAGGTAACAGAGTTCAAAGTTACTAAAAACGATTTACAAAAAATTTTCTTTAAAACAAGTCACCTAGAAGAAAATTATCGATCAGTCACTCTAAAGCGACAAAATACTCCTTTCCTAACTAAACCACTAAATAAATTAAACACAGAGCCCCGACCTATATCGATGGCAAAATATAAAGATTTGAACACTCTCTGTACCGGTAACACACCAGTGATACGGTTACCAGAACATATTAATTTTTATAAATCTCTGCCTCATACAGCGGAATGAAAATTTAAAACTATTTTTTTTTAAATATGTTTTTGTTTTTAAGACTAAACCCTTTAGCTTCGTCCTTTTAGTTTTAGTCAAGTGTTTAATAATGGTTATTTTGATACAGTTTTTGTTAAATATAAATTTTAGTTTTCTTATTATTGATACTCTTTTTTGTGAATTATAATGTTTTTTTTTGGAATGTATTTTCAACTACAAGATACGCCCTTTTCTACAAAAGGGCGTATCTCAAACTAACCCCAAAAATAATAATAACAATAATAATTTAGTCAATATTTAAATGATAGAGTACTATTTCTTAGTCATTGTTCTTTACTATCACAAAGAAAGAACTTTATATTCAGTCCAGTTTTTCTGAAATGGAAGCAAATAGAAGTCGGAGATCCGTTTTTTCGCACTAGTGAAAAGTTGCAAAAATCGAGATACGCCTTTACGGATTTTCATCGACGATATGATTTGTGGGGTTATGTAATTGTTTATATTTATGTTTAATTATATTATAATTATGTTATTATATTTAACAATGTTAATATAATTGTATAGTATGTCTATGATTGCCGTAAGTCAATTAAACCGGGTTAATTTTTCTATGCACACCACATAAAAACAACAATGGTTCCCTCTAAAACATGGCGGAACCTCTGCGCGAATGAGATGCGCGTACTTAATTTTCCATGGAGAGTGGGTACAGTGTAAAATATGCTACAATAAAATAGGTTTAAAGACAAAGTTTCAATAAAAATCCTTACTGAAGTACTGTATAGTTTTCGTCCTTACAATGAAACCTTCTTGGTACATTTATAATAGTCTCTCCTGGGTGCTTTTCTAAATATCGTTTTATTACGTAATAACGTTGACGTGTCTGGCCTGCGTTTCTTTCTAACGAGCGTGCAATATTTGACCAATTCGTTCCACCTTGTTCTTTTAGCCGTACTAAAAGCTCGTCCTCATCTACCGTCCATGTATTTTTCTTTCCATGTAAGTGCAAACTAGACGTATACCTGAAAAGTAGATTTTTAAATTTATTATCGCTTTTAGTAAAGATTTTGGGTTGAGTTTACCGAAAATACAAGTTGAATATAGCTGCAAATGTCAACTATGAAATAAAATATGTGGGTTTTAGCAGTGTTGGGATGTTTTTATAATTCATGTGTTGCATGCTTCAAATATAAAGAGAGAAAGCTTTTAAAAAGTAAATATCGATTATACTAGTTTATGAATTCTGCAATTTTTAATTTATATGAAACAATAACGAGTAAATATCTGTCTCGAGATTAATTGCAAACATCTGTTGCAATCTGGCAATTGCTGATTTGTCGATTGCCAAATCTATTCCCTACAAAAATTGCAGAATTCATAACATAATATAAACAAACTGTTTATATTTGAAGCATACAGCATCTACATTATAAAACCATGCCAACACTGCTAAACCGAAATTTTTTGTTCCATGTTTGACATTTCTGGCAAGAAATATATAGGCAACTCAATGTATAAATTTCGTTCATTAGGACCCCTTACGGCTGGGGTCAATACTAATTATCTTTTGACGGCAAATTCGAATGGACACCCCTTACATACATACCCTTTAGCGCCTCTTGCGGGCTGTTTCGTTACTAATTAAAATTTACTGGAAAATAAGGATATATAAAAGATGCACAATTTTTTCTAGATATACGTATATTTATTTGTTGTTTAAGATAAAACAGTTATAAACTAATTACATAATATTTATTACCCATATTTTCACAAACAAATGTCGAGAAGCAAACAATAATATTATTTAACAACTTACTATCATCATCCTATTTGTAATTTTTCCATGATTTGTACACAACGGAACAATACAATACTTCACCATGTTCAGTTTTTTTACTAGCACAACACAAAAATTCTTTACTACAATAGATAACTCAAACTAAACTTTAAAAACTAAGTAACCAACTTAAATTAAAATTATTAAGAATAAATGCAAACGAAAGTTAAAAATAATAAAATAAAATTGAAAACTTCTAAACAAACGGAAGATCTGTCATTACTTTTGACAGAATTGGCATTGCGGAATTAAGCTTCGTTTTATTATTTTATTGACACCTCGAGACTGTGTTAAAATAAATGATTGGTTAAAGTCTTCGTGAGAGAGATAGGCTGTCCTTTTTCTTAAATTAACTCGCTGGGGTTAAAGTGATGGGGGAATGAACCAAGGTCTTCATATAAGATTCCAGGACATGGCTATAATCAGCTGGTACTTTCGGTAAACTCAACCACATTTTGATTTTTAGCTGACAAATTTTATCAAGTTAGAGGCGTTTAATGTAAACTTTATAACACGATATCTTTGAATTATGTTAACTGTGCTTATTGCGACCCTCATTGAGGCCCTATAAGCCTCATCTCTTAAAATTGTTCCTAAAGATAATTCATAAGAGTATCTACAAGCTGTGTGAAAGTCAAATTTCTCCCAACCAGTTCGGGTTCATAAATGCTGTTGGTACTAAAGTGGTTTTGTTCTCAGTACAAGTCTTATTCAAGAAATGCAGAGACGTAAACTGCGACGAATACGCATGTCTACTTGATTACGAGAAAACATTTGATTGAGTACAGCACGCCAAGATGATGCAAGTACTAAAAGAAACAAGAATTAACAACCAAGATCTGAAAATAATTAGAAATATTTACTGGAATCAGACAGCAAATCTCAGACTTGAAGGTGAACATACTGACTATGTAAAAATCATGCGTGGAGTGAGGCAAGGCTGTATTTTGTCTCCTCTAATCTTCAATCTGTACTCTGAAAGAATATTTATCGAAGCTTTGCACGAAACTGAAAAAGGTATTCTACTAAATGGTTACCGGCTAAACACTATCAGATATGCAGATGACACCATAGTATTTGCGGACAAATTAGAAGATCTACAAGTTCTTATGAACAAAATCACGTATTACAGTCAGCAATATGGACTCAATATAAACGTTAAGAAGACAAAGCTTATGATAATTAGCAAGAAAAGAATAACAGAAGGTCAACTGTACGTGAACCAATCCCTTGTAGAAATAGTGACGCACTACAACTACCTCGGCGCCATAATAAAAGCTAGATCCACCTTCAATCGGATGGGGGCCTTCTTCAGGAGTCTCAACCTCTCTCTTGATACAAAAGTAAGAATGCTGCGATACTACGTCTTCTCTGTCCTTTTTTATGGTGTTAAATCGTGGACCTTAAAAGATATATGCAGAAAACTGGAAGCATTTGAGATGTGGCTATATCGGAGAATACTTAAGATCCCGTGGACTGACCGAGTCACAAATGAGGAGGTCCTCAAAAGAATGAATCAGACCCGAGAGGTACTGATCACTATCAAATCTCGAAAGTTACAATTCTTCGGACATATTATGCAAAATGAATCCAGATATGCTCTCCTTCAAGCCATCCTGCAAGGAAACATATTTGGAAAACATGGTTTAGAAAGAAGAAGAACATGGTTAAAGAACCTCAGAATCTGGTTCAATACAATATCTGTGCAGCTTTACCGCGCTGCTGCAGAGAAGATAAAAATTGCCATGATGATCGACAACATTCGTAACTGATAGGCACATCAAGAAGAAGAAGAATTGCGACCCTCAATTTTTATAATTATAAACATTATGTCGACTTTACAATACATGATTTATCATGTGATTTTCGTATGATTTGGTCATGAAGTCAAATTTCTATGTTCACACTCTGTGGTTTGTCCATCGAGCAAAAAGACAATAGAGGGAATGTAAAGGTAGTGGGGGCAAACATATTGTTAAACAGGAAATGCGATCTTTAGAGGCCACATTAAACAAGGAAAGAGAGTCTCTCTCCTTGTTTGACATCAAATTTAGTTGGGTTATGTTATTGTTTGTCCCAAATGTCACATGAAATCTTATTTATATTGAAGTTTTTTAACAATTGTGTCGCATTTTAGACTCTTATCATTAATAATTAATTAAAACTTTCTCGTCTAAGACACATTCTGCGAAATATTATATAGCTACTGTTGATAAGTGTCGGAAAATTTAAATTTGGCGCATTCGCATTTCCGGATATGTCCGCCATCAGAAGCCACTTTTTTGGTCTCCTTTTCAAAAGGATTAGATTCCCTCTTTTGTCTTATTGCTCGATGGGTTTGTCATATGATTTTGTCATAAGCACTATCATGCGGCTCGTCATAGCTTGTCATATGAGAATAGGACGGTACCTATTTCGCATGATAAAATCATATGATTTTTGGTAAAAATATCGGCAAGACCAACTGTTAAGTATTTGAATATTCTTATTTTTGTAACCGGCAACACTGCCAACATTGGTTCTTCTTCTTCCCACAGCAGCCGTTATGTATGACAGCCGACGAAGCATGCATTTTCGAAATACATTTTACAATTACAATCTCGAAACAAATGGAAGAAATCAGAGCCCCAAGTATTGACTTTGGGTACACTCGTACTTATCAAGGAGGATGGGCTTCCTCCTCTCAAATGGTCTTTAGGTCGTGTGCAAACGACCTTTCCCGGAAGTGATGGTGTCATCCGTAGTGCAATGGTGAAAATTGCAACTGGGGTGATTCATCGTCCAGTAGTTAAATTGTGTGTGTTGCCTTGTGCTTAAAGGCATATCAGCCTTCAAGGGAGGCGGCTATGTTAAGTATTTGAACAATCTTATTTTTGTAACCGGCAACACTGACAACATTGGTTCTTCTTCTGCCCACAGCAACCGCTATGTATGACAGCTGACGAAGCATGCATGTTCGGAGAAAGAACAAAAGAAGACGAGAGACTCGATTCTAACCATAATAGACATTACCATCACCACGCATACTAAAAATCCCTTTGTTCAGTTTTTTTGTTGTATTACTAAAATAAATTTAGTAAAGTGTAATCTCCAGTGTAGTTATTTATTACAAAATTAATAGGCCTTAGTTAACATCAACACCAAGATATTTAAATATCGCGCCTTATTCTTATGTCAATTCAGCGACATTTCCTTAAGGAGAGACAACATTATTTAAATCATGAATGTGTTGCTTGTGTGAGTCCATTTCAAATAGGTAAAGAAATAATAAATAAGACTTACTCACAATCAATTTAATTTAACTATCAGACGACCGGTTTCGCTTTCTACAATATGCAAAGCATCCTCAGGTCTCGATACAAAGTTAAACAAATGCTGAAATGATAAAAAACCCATATTAGGGTATTGTCTAATAACGATAAATACAGTAGATGTTGTAAATTACAATAATTATGCCAATATTACGTGTCTGTGGTTTTATTTAAAAGAGTAAGTTGAATAAAAAGTATAAAAGTTTTAAAAGTTTAAACAGACAAGGTAAGGCCCACAAATTGTTATAAAATAGTCTATTAGATTGTAATAAATTAATAAATGAGCAAATAAATAAATAAACATTACTTACATGCCGGTACTCTATTAATTGATGGATGGTAGAACATGGTTGAAACTACTATGTATTGTTGAATGGAGAACTCAATTCTGTTATTGCAGTTGTTTGACAGTAAACGGAAAGTTCTTGAGGAGATTGATTTGATCCAATGAAGAAAAGATATGTGTGTGATTGTTTGTTAAATGAAAGTGATGTAATATACCATTGTATTATTAAAAGTTATTTATACTTATTCGAGAGATATATATTTATAAAATGTGTGTTATATATTGAGTGATTGTTTTATGAAGTGGCAGTTTTATGACAATGAATAAGTTTAGATGTAAAAATTGTGTGGGTGTGCAATTATTTTCCACTTGTAGTTATCAAATTACTTTGATAAAGTTCTATTGGCAATTAATAAATTATTGAAAAGTCAAGTAATTAAAATATTAGAATAAAAACAATTAAGGACAATTTAAACACACTAAAACAGAAAACACTTAGAAGGGACGAAACAAACATTAAATTTAAAAGGGGGGAGGACTTTAATGCACTACATCTCTGTCTTGGGCACAATGAGTTTTTTATGTTTTATCTATTAGATTTTAGTGGTAAATTTGACAGATGTAGGTTAGCATGTGACAGTTCTTCTTCTGTTTCTCAATACTGTAAGTTAAGTTATCTAGTTTTATGAAATATGCTGTTATTAATGAATGTCTATAAATTGTTTCAATTAAGATATCAAAATTAAATTGATGTGTTTAATATTAGCATACTTTAACAATCTTTAATTAATCAAATTTAATGTAACAATACGGATAATTGAAATACATCCTAAAATATAACTAACTCAGTCTAATGTCCAAATTACTGAACAAATTAAAGTGATTCTTTGGCAACTGAACATGTACATTTTATAATCAAATGTATAATAAGTTTACAAAGTTTTTTATTTTTTTTTTAATTTTTGAAGGTCTGAGTTATCTGTCATGGTGTTTTTTAATATTTGAGATATTTAATTCAAATTCTGATATATTAATATATTAATATCTAATATACTAATATGTAACCAAAGCAACAAATGGATAATTATTGATGGTAATTAATTTATGGGCTCAAGAAATTGACTGAATTATAAAGCCTTCAATAATTAGTTGGTAGTTCTAATATCTGACAGTTGGAACCGGAAATTGTTAAACGATACATTATACTGGTTTACTCTACTTTATACCGGTTTAAATAGAGGATCATTCTACATGTTCGTACAGATATGAGTTAAATTAAATTGATTGTGAGTAAGTCTTATTTATTATTTCTTTGCCTATTTACAACATTATTTATTTATTTAACCATTGTTTTTGCATTGATATTAAGCCTATTGTCTAATCTGTGCTACTGTGTTGTATTTTTGTTTTATTATTTATTTAGTTTGTTTTATTCTTAGTTTAGTGTTTTATAGTCATCTTAGACATAATTTTAGTTTAGTTTCTCTATTAATTTTTTTTTTAATTTGGAATAATATCACCACTAAATTTGATATACCTCGACCACTACCACTATTTCTTCGAAGGAGTCATTTGCGAGCCCAAAGGCGTCTTATCTTTTCTTCTTACTATTAGATGAACGCAGTTGTTGCCGGCGTATTATGATTAAAATTTCAAAAACCAATGCAAGCAAATATTTATGTTCCATTATAATAGTTTAAAAATCTAATAGTTATTATGGTTATTATCTATATACTGTGTCTAATCTAATATCTCTATAACCATAAACAAAAAGAAAAATCAAAAAACCTCATTGTCACTCATATCATAAGTCATAACTTATCATTCAGTGTCAACACGATTTTTTAAAACATCATAGAAACGAGGAATCATAACGAATCTCATATGATATTGTCATATAATAAAATCATGTAGTATAAAGTCGACATTATACAGGTTAGGATCGTTCGCAATTTTATTTTAGAATTTTACAAAGCCATTTCTAGATTAGAAATCGAAATGTCAAAACAAATTTAAAATGTAATTCTCATTACAAAATTGTGGTTTAATTCCATAAAAAATAATCAAATAGTCAAGACATTACAAGAGCCTCAAACGAAATATTGTCCAAGAAATAGAAAAGATAAAAAATTAGGCCAACCAACAAAATCCCTTATTGAAAAAAAAACGACAGCTGGAAAACGATAATAATGTTAAGTAAAAAAAATATATGAGTCATATTAAAAAAACCGTATACATATTTATTCATTCACCAATTTTCTAGGTCAAATACTACCGAATTCTCCAGAAGGGTCGAATAACTTCAGGTACCAAGAATGCAGCCGGCGGCGCGACCCTCCGAATTTACCAGAAGGCGCTCGACTGTATTAGTCTAGCTGAATGAGTCACCTAATGGATGGAAGGTCATCGATGCATCGCCAGACCCTTCTAGATAACGGCATTTCATATAAATAACGGTGATTCTCATTGAGGAGGGTTAGTAAGAAGATAAATTCGCGACGGGTATTTGAATGTAACGCACGTATAAATGTAGATAATAATTATATAATTATTAAGTGTAGAATAAATTAGTAGTAATAAAGACTGTAATAAATTTGTGAGTGTTATAAGTATAGAGCCTTTAATAAATAAGAACAATAAATTAGCATTAATAAAGACTTTACAATACTATTAACAAAGAAGAACTTATTAGAATAAGAAGTAATTAAACAATTTTGTAATGTAAAATAAAGGCTACAAGGTTTTAAGAATAAGCATACAAAACGGAAAAATTGAAGTCAACAAGCTGAAAAAACAGCAGGAGACACAACTATGAACAAAAACGAACTACTAACGATGATTGAAGAATTTTCCGCAGACCTCTGTAGATCCAGAGAAACAGACAAAACTAATTTTGACGATTAAAAAGCCTCTAGAGCAGCCGTACTCACACTGTGGTACGCAAAGCACTTAAAGGTGGTACTCTATAAACTAGAAGAAACTAAGAATTTTAATAAAATTTACAAACAAATGTTATCTTTTACGTTGTGCATGGGAACATGTGAGTTTGAAACCACAAGCGCTTAATTTGTTATTCATTGTTGGCGACACTGGAATCACGGCAAATTGTCACCGCCCTTAATTTACGTCTATTCACGTCATCAGTTTCCTCGTGGCCGTCAGTCGTTGTGGTTGGATT